ATTATAAATGTTATATAGAATATTGTTATAAGATAGAATATTATTATTATAAATAATAGAATATTATTTATCTGTGCTTAACTAACAGAAATAATAGAAAAATAGAATCCTAGAATGGTTTGGGTTGGAAGGCACCGTAAAAGTCACTCAGTTCCAACCCCCTGCCATGGGCAGGGACACCTTCCAATAGACCAGATTGCTCAAAGCCCTGTCCAACCTGGCCTTGAAATGTAAGCAGAAAAGTGTGTGGATAGGTACATGTCCACCTCAGGGACCAAACTTACAGCCTGCAACATCTGTTTAGTCTCTTTACCTCTTGCAAAGCCTAATGCCGCTCTGTTCTCTCTTCCTTCACCTTTCAGATCCTGTGGAAATGGAGTACCAGGAGGCTGTTAGCAAGAGCACCTTCCAGCAGCTAGTGACTGATTTGGAGCCCTCGACCAGCTATAGCTTTTATATAAAGGCTTACACCTCCCGGGGTGCCAGCAAAGCCTCAGAAGTCACGGTGGTGAGCACGCTGGGAGAAGGTAAGGAATGCTTTGCGCTTGGACCGTCAGATGCTGACACCCACTGTGCCTAACAGCAGCACCAGTCACCCTGATACCCACCCTGGAGCGCTTTGGCACGTAGCCTGTGGTGTTGATGCTCCTTGTTTCTGCTCCTCCTCATCCTCTGGGATATTGTGTAAGACTCACTTGTATCGTTACAGGGGGGTTGACTGATTAAGCGCAGCATCGCCTCTCACAGCTGATGTTGTAGCAGGGGGTGAGTGCAAACCTGCCTGGTCTCGTGCGTTGCAGCTGCTCTGGGCTTCCCCTAAACTGCTTGCTAAATGCAGATTTCCTGCTCAAGCAGCATCTTGGCATCCTCCAGCAGCTCTGGTGAACTCACAGCTCTTACTGAATAGGTGCCACACTTTGAAAGATTTGATTATTTTCTGCTCTATCCCGGACAAATTGAAGTAGAGCTGAGCTGTCCTCACCAGCAAATCCCTGCCTTGGAGCAGCCTTCTGTTTCAGTGGGAAGTTGGGATGATCTCCAGGGCTTTTTCCTGACTTGGCTACCAGTTAGCTTCCCCAGCAAGAACGTGGGTGCTCTAATGCAGGACCCTTGACAGACACCTGACAGAAACCACAGCCACAGTGTGATCTGTCAGATGGCGTTTGAGGAACATTTTCTTGGAGATTCATACTACCTCTCCAGCACCTCTGAATCCTGGCTTGTCTCACATATGGAGACTGACTTCTTAGGAACATCATTGTCATGAACTTTCAGTAAGGATGGATTTGCAGCAGAGAGGGCCTTGGGTGTGAGGATGTTATTTAGGATCAAATGGAAGAGTCTGTTGACTTCCACGTGGGGAATCCAGTTCTCATTCCATTCTCAACCCTTGCAGATATATATTACAGAATTTAAGCAACAACACCAATAAATCCTCACCCTGCTGGGTTGTTGCCCTGAAAGTTTATTTTCCTTGGTACTCTGCAGGGAATCAGTCACCCTTGGACTTTGTTTTCCTTCCAATTTAGAGGCAGAAGGATGGACTAAGGCAAAGCTTGAAACTCCTTGACCCGATGCTCCAAGTTCAGGCACGGGAGCTACAAGCCAGCCATGCTCCATAGAGCCTGGTGACTCTGCAGAAGTTCAGGTCAAGTGAGAGAGGACTTCTTGTCATTATTACCATCAGTCATGCCAGGAATAGTTAGGTATCTGGTAATGGGATCATAAATTTCCTGGTGCTCTGAAGTTTCACAGTATCACTGTCCTGCGCTGCTGTCCTTTAAGAAAGGCTTGTCCTGTGTAACGAAGCTTCAGCAATTAGCTCCACATTCAGGGTGGACAAGCTGCTTCAGATCACTCAACCCCAGCCCACATTTGCCTTGTATGAAGGTAAAAAGATATTTAAAAGCCTCAGTTCTGGCTTCATTTGTTTGCTTTGCTTCACTCGGGTGCCTGTTGCCTTCTGCTCACAGAAAGTAAGAATCCAGTGGCTTTTGTCACCAAATTAAGGTTTTACTGTAGATTTGCCTCTTCTTACAGCCAAGTTGTTTCACCTTGTGCCTTCCCAAGGTGCACAGGAGAGCTGTGACCCCTGGGCTCAGGAAGCCCCTGAATCTGTGCTAACAGCCTCAGAAAGGGATGGGTTTTCCAAGACATGCCATGCATGGCAGCCAGGAATGGGTGAATCTGGCAGCCGAGGACAGCTCGGCGGAGCCAGGGCAGCCAGCAGAGATGCTGCCAGCTGGAGACTGCTCTGAGTGACTGTGTTATACTGGTATTGTCTGGAGAAGGAATGTGGTGTCAGTACTGAGGAGCAGGTCTGCTTTCAGCTCGGGGCCGTCAGCTTTTCAGGGCTAGCAGTACGCTGAGAGTGCGCTTGGCTGAAGCCTCCAACGCTTTCTGGACATGCAGTGCTTCTTCTTTTGTGCCTGTAATAACTCTGGATGGAAAGCAGAAGGGAAGACACTGTGGAGAAATGACCCAAGTGAACCTTGTCCTCCGTAAATCTCCCTCTCTGGGAAGGTCCTCCTGCCTCCTCCCTGCCGTTCTCCTTTATGCCGTTTCACAAATGCCGTGGTATTTTACATCTCGAACGCTCTCCGCTTCATTGAGCAGCACACACTCCTTGTTCTTGTCTTTTAATGCTTTTTAGGGTTTTCTCCAGGACTTTTTGACATTTCTCTAGGATGAAGACTGTTCCTTTAGTCATCTTCGGCTAAAGACGCCTTAAAGAAGAAAGTTGAAATGACCTGGGGAAAATTCCAAACAGCACGGAAGAGGAAAACAAGTATCCCAGCCCTTAGCACGAGGGAGATCCCTCACTTATAGTAGCTCCATATTATGTCTTCTATATACTTCTGTGAAGCACCTATATGCTGGTGTGTGTACATATATCTACACACACACAGATATACTCCATTGTATACACTTATTTGTGTAATAACAGTATAAGCAGCACGTGCATTCTGCGAGTACATATACCTATAATCAGCTTTATACATATATATACTCGAAGTTTGAATAAATACAATATATTCCATACTTTGAAGGAGAGATATTCTTGTGGTTTTTATTAAATGTAAGGCTCTGCAACCATAAAATAAAGCCAACTCTTCACAAATCAGGATGGCCCACATCAGTGTTTCTTTGTCCATGGGATAATGTGATAATTTCCCTTTTTGTGGTGTTTTCACCAGTGGTTTGGAAAATGGTGCTTAAGCAAAGCTCCAACTTTTCAGAGTGGGGATTTTGCCCTAGAGAAAATTGGGAGAATTAGAACAAAACAGAGTATTTAATTGGATTGCAAAAATAGGCAGCCTTGGGAGGAGTGGTACATTCTGGTATAAATAGTTTACTCTGTGCTTTGCACCCAGAAATTGCTAAGTTCAGCCTTGCCAGCAATGGAATGCACATCAGAACAAATCCTAGCAAGATGGAGTGCTTGAACCCTTTTTCTTTCCCATTGGCAGCACTCAGGCAGGATGGGATCTCATTAACCTGACCCAGGACACTGAGTCTTTCCTTCTGAATCCATACAGAGATGCCCAGCTGTCAGCAGGGACTTGTTCCTATCCCTATGCTTATTCAGAGGGTATCAGGCAAAGCCCTTGCAACCTGAAGGAGAGCATCACTTTGGGAAAAGACAGGGTTGCCCTGAATCTCCTGCTCACCTGGAGAGATGTCCTTCCTTCCTCTAAATCTCCTTGTGGAAAAGCTTGAGCTCTCAGTGCCTGGGAAAAGGCAAATGATTGTGCTGTGCAGTTTTACTTTTACTATTAAACTGAGGAAATGCCCTTTTTAGCTCTCATCAGTCTTAGATTGACATGGCCACATTTCATCTGCTTTTCACCATCACTCACTAATGGCTGTGCTGAACTCTTTGCCAAAGGTCAGGTTTGCACTGCTCATCCTTGGAGATCCTTTAGGGAAAAACAAGCCAGAAAGCAGCTTCGGTCCAGTGCTAGCCCAGCAGTCCTTATACTTGGGAACTGCTGAGCTTGTAATCATGTAGGACTGGAAAAAATAGCTCTACCTCAAATCCTGGAGGCTGCTGGAGAAGCAGAGCTCTTGTTCTGCTGGATATTTTTGCTGCAGGTTGTAGCTGAGCTCAGTGCCTGGTGCCCAAAACCCCTTCTCCCTCCCAGTGCTGGCCCTGGTGCTGGAGCAGAGCCCTGGGCAGGGCAGAGTCTGCAGCACCTGGTGCTTTGCACCTTCTGGATGGTGCCAAAGGCTGAGGAGCTGATGGGAGCGTTTGGTATGGGGGCATTTTGTGAATAAAAAACAAGTGAAGTGTCAAAAATATCCTCCTGAGACACATCTCAGTGTTAGTGCAATCAGTGTGTGAGAAAAGGAGGGAGAGGGAAGGAAGAGGCTTTGGGGGCTACGTGGGTCTGTGTGCCCAGGGCTCAGGGCAGGGTTTGGTGCAGAACCAGCTTTGGAAACCCCAGGTATCTGCACCACAAGAAAATTGGCTTTGGCTTACAAATGTTTGCCTCTCAGCTCAGAGGCTGATGGGGCAGGATGAGACCTGTGGAGGGAAGGGCCTGATGCCCTCTGCAGCACACCCCAAGAACCAGGGCAGTGTTTTGGGGTATTGTCTGGAGCAAAAGGTGTCCTCGTGGACTTTGAATCAGGTCTCGGTGACATCAGGCAGCAGCAGGGAAATCTTCCCAGCTAACCCCCCATGCACCCCTCAGGCCAGGTAAGTGCCTGCCTCCCAAAACAAGCCATCCCCAGCTGTGCAGGGATCTCAGGCTGCTCAGGTCTTTAGGGCTGTTGATGAAGATGTCCCAGTTCTCTCCTAAGTCCCCAGCAGAATCACAAACCTCCCTCCTAAAGCCAAGGGAAGAGCAAAGCCCCCTGCACCCAGCAAGCCAGTGCAGGTACCTAGCACACTTACAAGACGGATGTCTCCAGTTCCATCCCTTCTGATTCCTTCCTCCCTGGGGGATTAATCACTCTGAAAGGTCCTTGCTTCAGGGTGAGGGCAAAAAAAGTGGAATTTGAGAATGCATTGCCAGAGTTGCCGCATT